GAAGCGAGGGATAGATAGATAGATAGATAGATAAATAGATAGATAGATAGATAGATAGATAGATAGATAGATGCAACATCCCCCTCACCTCTCAGTGACACGTCTTATAAGATAAGAATTTATCAGTTTATTTATTGTATTAATAATAAAATAGAAGCAAAAGAAATGTGATTTCTTAGGAGAATGCTGAGAATATCGCGGAAGGCAAAAAAAATCAAATGATGAAGCCCGCATGGGGCACTCACTGTTATAAACAATCAGGAAACGACGGATGCAGTTTTTGGGACACCTGAATAGACATAAAGGTCTTGAACATCTAGCTCTCACAGGCAAAATTGAAAGCAAGCGAGGCCTCGGTAGGCCCAGAACAACCTACTTAGTGAACCTAAACAAACGGGGAATGATCAGGGAAACGTAGCTTTTTTAAGAGCACCCGAGCAAAGGAATGAATGGAGAACCATGGTCGCCGATGTCTGCCGCAGACCTGTCACTGCATGATAATACTTTGTATAATATGTAAGAGCACATACAACAATATATATTAACTCCTTCATTGCTACGGCATATACAACAATTTATGTTAACCCCTTCATTGCTACGGTGCCGTAAGGCTCACGTCTCCTCTGAGTGCTTTGAGTGGCCGTATTTCGGGCGACTCTTAAAGTACCTAATAAAGGAAAGAGCACACAAAAACACACCTGTTCGCCATTTTTCTTACCCATTAGAATAAGTAGGGACAAAAAGGGTGTACCAACATGTCATCCAGCTGATGAACCTATTCCTTATACACCTCCGCCGAAGTCCCTCTGTGAGGGGCGTCGGTGGCCTAGTGGTTAGGCTACCGGACTCGTAATCGTGAGTTTGCGGGATCGTGGGTTCGAGCCACTGGCCCGACGTTGTGTCCTTGGGAAAGGCACTTTACACGAATTTTCCTCACTTCACCCAGGTGGAAATGGGTACCCGGCCATAGACAGAGAAAGATCTTGTCAGTATGTTAGTGTTTTAGCGCCTATAAATGGCTGCTTGCATAGTATGCTTCCCAGGAAGTTGAGTTTGTTTTATAATGCTCTCAGGTCTGCTGGGGTAATAGTATAGATTGTGAAGCGCACAGGGCTTGCTGTTGAGCGGAGATTTGCGCTATACAAATGCTATCTCTTATTATTAGTAGTAGTATTATTTAACCCTATCCGTGGGACATGGGGTCATTTTGTATCCACAGGGTTGTATTCTTCACATTTAAAAATACTTCTAGAGCGAAGATCTCTTTGCATTTTTCAGTGTTTCTCAAAAAATAATTCTGACAGACTGCTAAGCAAAGCGTGCGGATCAGATTAACGAGTAATGGAAAGTGATGGCAGAGAGTTCCCCACGTCGTATGAATACGATAGTAAAACAGGACGTACGGATAGGGTTAACATTATGACAACACAAGCCCCAATTATTCTAAAAAGTAATCGACATAGCTTGAAGTTGAAGATCGTAACACTGGTACCGAAGGCAGAAACGCTGATCCAGCATTTTAACGATATTTTTGGATATTCCCTCTGAAGGGGATGGATGGTGAGACATTGAATCATTACCAGCAGACAGGCGAAGATAATATGATAGAATAGCCTCCCCGAATCGGTTGCCGAACTCCCATCATCAGCTTACAATGGCGAAGAATCTATACATCCCACCACAAAATGCCATTGTCATAATTCTTTTGTAACCTTCTGCGTAAAACCACAAAAAATACCAACTGCAAGAGATGGCCTTTATTCTCTCAGTCTGGAAATTTACCACGGCCTCCTCGTTTCTTGTCCAATTTTCAAAACCATTCAAAAATTCCAACACAATGTGACTTGAATCTGGCGTAAAACTCCCCCGGGACCTCCTCAAAATGCCAACGTTTGTGGAACTAAAAGATTGAGCTCCCAAGTAGAAATGTCGCTAGATTTGATCACGGAGTCTCAAGTCAGTGTGTCGGAAGTTGGAGGCAAAATTCCATATGTGCGACATCTTTTGCATGGTCCATGGGGGATTCAAAATCGAGATAGAGGGAGACGGTGAAGGAGCTCTCTTCCCATCTCTCTTTCTCTCTCTCTTTCTCTCTTTCTCTCTCTCTCTGTCTCTGTTTGTTTGTCTCTTCTCTTTGTGTGTATGTGTGTGTGTTTGTGTGTGTGTGTATGTGTGTGTGTGTGTGTTTGTTTATTTAGATGTGTGTGTGTGTGTG